AGTTTATGACATGGTAACATTGAGGACAATGAGGGTCACTTGATGAGTATTCAGTGTTGCTATCCAGGGAGAAGAGGGAAGGATGATTTTCCCCAGCTTTTCACCCCTTTTTCCTCCCTCCAACCTGTTACAACAGCTTTTGAGAGTTTTGAATTCACTTTGTATGTTAAGGAAAGCATGTTCTTGTTGCTAAGTCTGCCAGGTTTAGTCAGTGGGCCCCTTATTCTAGGGAGGTCATTCAGAGATCTACCCCCAAGGATGAATAGGCATGCATAGCATGGGAGAAAATAGGCCAGGTTTTGGGGAAATTATCTGCTACAGTGGTTTGGAAGTTTACCTCCAAAGAAGTACAGGACCCTGTTAAAGAATATTTGCAAGGAGAATATTGTGGCAACTCCAGAGAGGAGAAATTTCTTGCAGTGTGCTGAGCCCTGGCTTTTATTTACTGCGCCCTGCTCATAACTAGAGAGCACCCTCTGGGGAGAGGGAGAGAAGCAGAGCAGCAGGCACCATGGCTGTCTTTAGACTCTCTCCCTTTCTTTGCTCCTTCCATTTGAGATCCTGCAAGCTCCCATCTTTTTTCTTATATTTCATCCATACTTTTGGGGTAGCATTTGTGTATGTTCCACTTATCCTGGTTAGAATGATGGTGGCTTGTATGCCCAAATGTTCTCTTTTCTGAGGAGAGGAGTTCAAGTTCACTCCCTAGCCATCCCTGGCCTCTGCAGTAAAGAATGAGGAAAAAGATCATTCAGAGTCTGTGATATGCCCTTTTCAGGTGGTTTTGAATATTAGGATGGCTGGGCTGGAGATCAAATTCTGACACTGCTTGCTCCCAGGCTTTCCATTTGTGTGATACCTGTGGATGAATTAGTCACACCTCTGTCTTCATACACACTCTAATGACCTCAGAGTAAGCTACTGAGGAGAAAGCTCTCCTGTGATGTGAGTAGAATGGAATGTTTGGCATTCATTAACAAATGCTAACAATCCCAGCTAGATTCAGAAGGCATTTAGTAGAAAATCCTCTCAGGACTGCAAGAAATTAAATTCAGATTAATGGATTGTAACTTCGATGTCAGTTGAGTCCTTTGCTGTTTCTGTCTCAGTAGACAGCATGAGTGCAGAGAAGTGCCTTGTTATCACGCAACTCTCCTGCTCCACACTGCCAGATATTGCCTGGATCTTTCCGAAGATTTGGACAGGGCTGAGCACACCTCGTGTGTCTGTTTTCTTGGTTTCTCTGTGGTGCTCTTACTGGTTTATCTGACTTCTAGGCCTTGGAGAAGGATTTGGGTCAGCATTTTGCTAGCTTGTCGCACACATTTAGTGGTTACAAAAAGAAAAAGAAAGTGAACAAAATATCTATAAACCTTTGTTTCCTGACATCTGAGTAAATAAAAATGAGAAATGTAACTTTTCCTGCCTTTCTCTGGACACTTTGTAATAGATCGTGAAGTGCTACATGCTTTAGGGAAGTGTCTGAACTAGAGAACAAATGAGGTGGTAATTGCCCGGAATGTGCAAGAGTATAATCCAAACAGACTTTGGGAAGAGTTGAAACTACTGCTTGGAAGGACATTGTGCTGGAATTCAGTGCAAAGGACTCCATGGAACTATGAGCTCTTCCCTATTTGCTGTTTTCTCTCAATGCTGTGTATGGCATAGAGCTCAAAGAGCTTAACACAGGGCTCCTGCTGTCAGAGAAAGCCAGAAAGAAATGCTTAAAGGATTCCTGCAGTGCAAGAAAGCTGTGATTAAAGCAGTTCATAACTCAACTTGCCATAGAGATTTTCCCACAGCCCAGAATTCCCAAGGGCAATTTCTCAGGAGAGATAACAGTTTGATAAGCAGCTTGTTGTCCTGAAGCCCTGCTCCTGCCATGTCTGCCCCCTCTTCCCAGAGATGCTGAATGAGGCTCTGGGCTGCTGTTCCCTTGGACAGCCCCAAAGGCATGTGGCTGGCGGATCAGTTTACCAGTGAAGCAGGTGTTGTCCCTGTGCTGGAGCAGCCCTTGGTGTGTAGCTGTTTCCTCAAGCATCCCTTCATAATCTAAAAAATGGGAGGTGCTGGAACCAAGCTGTTGTCACAGTGCCCAGGTGAGCCCATGTGCAGTGAAGTTACATTTGATGTCATTACAGGTCAAGCCCAGAAACTGGGAATGGAGTATGAGGAGGAAGAGCTTTGTGTAAGGAGTGGTGTGATGGCCAGACACCCTGCCAATGCAGCCCAGACACGCTGGGATCACCTGGGCCTGGCTCGCAGCCACAGCAGGGTGTGCCCAAGTTTCAGGTGCGTTGTGGAGTTTCTGCAGCATTTAGCAAGGCAAGATCTGATGTAGCTGTGTGTTTGCAAGTTTAGTTTCGGTGCTTGAAATGCAGAAGGCAAATGAATTTCACTCCCACCCACAGGAATGAGAGCCTGTCAGTCCAGCAAGGCAGAGGAGGTGTCCAGCTACCTCAGAGAGATAACAACACACTTTTGGGGAGCTACTCTGGTGAGAGCAGACAGCCTCACAGCCATCCTGCCTGGCATTATGGAGCAGTCCCACAGAGAAAGCAATGCAGCACTTATTACTGTAGGAAACACTGAACTCCTAGATAGGAAAAGAATAAGTTCTACTCTCTTTTCCAAGCCTGCGACTTATCCTGCTCCCTTTGAAACCTGCTGTAAACAGTTCTATAGAACTGATGGAGCTGGTTGTTTTTGCTCTATCCCAGCCCTCCCTGGCTCTCAGCTTTGCACATCTCATCTGTGGTGATGTAAATGATGTTAGGTTTAAGGCTGCCTTCCAAGAGTGATCCACGTTGCCAGATAGAAATTTCTCTTCAGCCCTGTAAGTCACATCCAGGAAGACATGGCAAAAAGGGAGATCTGAGTTACAAGATGTGCCTTCCATTATTAACTTCACCATGTTGAGTCATCATGCTTAAAGTGCTTCAGCCTGGCTGTTCCCCTGTTTTTTATTGACAAATAATTTGAAGCTGGTGGGGCAATGAGGAATCACTTCATTTTTAAAAGCAGAAGCCAAAAATTCATGGGGAAAAACCCATGTAGGAAGCATAGGAGCTCACAAGTGTTGTGAAGGTAACTCAGTGTATTCTATAAAATAGGTAAATATACACACCCATGAGAGCTAATGCAAAACACTCATTAAAACAGATCCTGTGCTGCTTCAATAGCATATTTAGTTTTTTAAAAAAGGCACTGACAGTAAAAGCCTTTGTTCAGAACATGCTCACTCCTGTGCCTTGCAACCTCCAATTCTGCTGTTATTTTTAAGTTTTTGATTTATTTTTACTTTTAAGAAGCTTTTGCATAAAGGAGAGCCCAAAACCTAGGTTGAACTGTTCCTGTAGTGGTACTTGCTCTGATTTCAGAGCTTCTCCCCTGCAGAGAACATACGATTTGCCTCTCCAGGAATATTTCAGTCTCTTTGAAAGCTTGCACGCAGAGCAAGAAAACTGGTTTGAATCTTCATTTCCTGCCCAGCAAAGAGTCTCAGGCTGCTTTGAAACATGGAAACACAGCATGGCAGGGGTGGTTGTCCATGTGTCCAACAGCTGGGCTCAGCTCAGGGGCTGTGTCTTGGCAGCAGGGGGACTGCTGTGCTCTGTGTCCTGGCACAAACAGCTGGAACAGCCCTTGAGTTGAGGGCAGAGTGGGGAATCCACCACTTTGTTTTGCCAGCAATCTGTGATTGTCTACTGCATTTCTGAAAGAGCAGAGTTGGTGTTACTGACGGCCTCAACTGTGGTTTATCTGACAGTAAAATAATTGCCAAGCGTATCTGTGTCTAGTGTTTGGAGATCCTAAATTTATCATTTTATTCTAAGTTTCCTGTCCATGAAATAGAACTAGGTCTTCTTCTCTTTTATATTTAACTGGGCATTTGTGCATTTGTTGCCTTGTTGACTGAAGATGATCGGTATGTGAGGATGAGGTGATCTTTCTTGTCAGAATTCCAGATTCTGGGGGATCAGTGGTTTCTGTCTGGGGATGTGTTGTTCCCCACCCCACCAAACACACAGAGACATTTTTCATGTAGATCTTTGAGGCATTGTATAAAGCATGGCTGACTTGAACCCTTGTGCACTTCTTCGAGGTAACAAAACCCAGGCTGATTTGATGGGCAGGGAAATGAGATGAACCTCAATGGGATTTAAAAAGTAATAATAAAAAAAAGGCAGGGTGAGCTTTCTGGCTCTCCCAGTTTTGTTGAGGGGTGGTGTTCAGGCCTTGCTGCTTCAGACATGCTTTATTGCCCTCACTGTGCAGACATTATTAAGTGTGAGAGAGGAATAAATCAATACAATTGCAGAAAAGACTATTTGGTAGCAGCTTAACATTTAGGCTATTGCAGTCATAGAACTAACATCTATCAAAAAACCTTTGGATTCAATTTAAAGGAAATTTAGAGGAATTCTGGGCATATTAGTGCTTTTGTGCAGTAGGACTGATGCACCACGTGGGGGCAATAAGGGATTGTCTGTGTCTCAGCTGTTACCTGTAGATAAGAATATGGCAGGAAAAGCTCTCAGATTTTGCCTGGAATTTTGTTCCAATGTTGTGGCTCAGCAGGTCTATTTCATTGCACTTTGTAGCTTGTCTATGCTCTTGATTTTTGTGCTGTGGCTTCAAAATTGCTGCTGGCTACAGACTGAACCTTCTGGGCAGGGAGGATGTGCTTGGACAAGTTCACTAGTCAGACTGAGAGAAGCTGCTGAGTGAGTGTGTCTGTGTGTGCAGGTAGGAACATATGCTGTGCTTAATTTACTTGTTCTAATTGCCACCTTCACCATGAGAGCCAAGTTCAAATAGATATATAATTATGAAAGTCAAAGTAGGTGATTGCAAAAAGGGATTGCAGCCTCTCGGGGTTTTTCTGTTAGCAGAAGTTTTTCCTGTACATAGGTACCCAGGCCTTTTCTAAGGAATTGGTTAATAATGAGGGTTTAATTCCAGGTCATGGTCTAAGGCTGGTGGACTTTGTGCTTTATAAAGGCCAATGTAATTAGAAGTTGCAGTGTGTGTAGAAGGGCTCCAAAGGGGAACAATCTGAGAAACTCAAAGATTTCCTTCTGGGAGAAGTGCTAGAGCATGATTGTGGAGGGCAGAATTATTTAAGATTGGAAGTGTAAAATCCCAACCACAGGGTCTACAAGTATCCGTAGCATGGAAACCAGTTGGTTTAGCAAGGTACTACTTCTGCTGAGTGCATTTGCTATTCCATCTCTGCCAGTAGAACGAGGTGCCTTCTGACCATTTTTGAAGCATCTTCATTCATTGCTGTTGAAGAACAGTATTTCTCCTATGCTTTCTGGTCAATTTTAACAGTAAGTGAGCCTGGAGTAAGAGAGTAATTCTGGTAAGTGGCATGTACAGGTATGGCTGCGTTGTTCAATCTTTGTGCTCATTGTGTGGGTCATATCTCTGCTTATATAGCAGCTCCTGTTCACCTTGACTTGAGTCTTTTGTCATTTGCTAATGACAGTTGGTGGATTAATCAAATTTTATGATTTCACTCTTTTCTGTTTTTCTACCATCTGGGGTACTTGTGGGCTGTTAGTACAGAGCACCATCTGATTAAAATTACTGAAATTGGCTTGATTTTGCTATTTAAGAAATAAACTTAAGCTCTTTGTGACTGTTGAGTAAAGACCTTGTTAATCAGTGATGAGGAATGACTTGATCCTGCAGACTGGTCCCTGCTGAGATGTCTAAGGTGATGTGGGAGGCAATCCAGAGAATGGATCAGTAAGACAAGATAACTGGTCTCTGGTTCTGCTGCGCAGGCCATTACAGACTGAACTCTTCAAGGCTGAAACATTTCTAGACCAGAAACATGGCCAGGGTGGTCATTAATTGTCATAACATTTCATCTAACATGTAAATACAGTTGTGCAAAGGTGAGTTTTTCCCCTGGTGGACCTCTGAGGTGCTCTGCAGGTGGTGCAGTGTCACCAGGTCCTCAAGAGTGATGCAATAATAAGTGATCATCTTGTGGAGAAAGCTCTCAGCCCTTCCAGTTAGTCCTTAGTGGCACTGTGCTTAGGCTTAGGTTAATGATGCCCACAGCAAATTGTTGAATATATCCAGGTAGTAACAGATGGGAGAATTGTCATACAAGGCTCTGGCTTGAACTAAAGTAGGACAATGGCAGTGAACTGTGGCAGTCAAAGGTCTCTGAACTGCCCCAAAAGGGATTCTGGTGCTTTCAGTGACCCACCTGCAATGAAACCCATATCAATCCATCTTCCTCTTTTCATCCTTGGCATGCCCATGTGTGCTGTCATTGTGGAGTCCCAGTACAACACACTCGAAGTGAATTCGTGGCATGTGGCCCAGTTACTTTGGTGTACATGGTATAAAATGCTGGCTTAAGTGGTTGTAAATATTTTTCCTCTCAGCTATGCCAACTTGCTGCTGTAGACAGCAGGGAAGACACAGTGTAAGCTTGCCTTGTTCTTAGGAGATGGAGACCTCTGAGAGACAGAGCTCTGTAGTGTGTATTTGAAAAATATGTGCTGACAAAATCATCAGTATGTGTGATTTTTCAGTCTGGAGATTTTCTCTTTGTCATGGTGAAGGATCTGAATAGAAAGAAGATTTCCCAGCTGTTATATTAGTTGGATAAAAGTCTGCTTTGAAGGACTTCCTCAAACCTCATCCAGAGGGTGACTGAAGAAAAAGATGATATTATAGTGTAGTGAAAGGTAATTCTAATTGTCCTGCTCAGGCCAAGGGGAGAATATGGTGCAGATTATCTGTTGTATTACTTGAGTGCAAAAGTTACACCTTGTTATCAGTTTTTATCTCAAAAGGAGAAAGCTGTGCTTTGTCCTGACACTGCATCCTTCCAACTGCAACAGCTGGCTTTCATGTGTAATGACATTCTTCTAGTTTTAGTCTTTAAACGTCTTCCTCCTCTTGTAAAGGCTTCAAACACTGTTTGGATGGCTGAAAAGTTTGATTTCATGGCTGTTACAGAAACTTAAAAGACTTTGTGGACAGCTGTGAAGAACATACTGCTGAGTCTGGTAGAGATAGCCAATCTACTCCCTCTTTTAGTTTTCAAAATCACCAAACCAATCCACTCCCTCTTTTAGTTTTCAAAATCACCAAACACCACATCTCAAGCATGTTTTTTGTTACAGTTGCTGAGGATTTATTAAATGATTGAGTGTACATAACAGAAGTTCAACCTGATATGGCCCTTCCTCATTGTACCCTGTGGCTGCTCTACCCCTGGAAGTGTCCAAGGCCAGTGTGGATGGGGCTTGGAGCAATGTGGGACAGTGGAAGGTGTCCCTGCCCATGGCAGAGGAGACCTTTAAGGTCCTTTCCATCCCAAACTATTCTGTAATTCTCTGATATGATGGAATTTTTTTTTTTTTTTTTTTTTTTTTTTTTTTTTTTTTTTTTTTTTTTTTTTTTTTTTTTTTTTTTTGCTTGTGTGAGTAGACAGGTCAGAAATGAACTGCATGTAGAAACAGGTGTTCAGGATGAGGACAATTAAACACTGAACCTTTGTGCCTTTTCCTTATTGCATTGCTTCAGTTCAGTAAATTACATGTATTTTGGGTAAGCAACAAGGTCAGGACTCTTGAATGAAGCATAAAGAGCAGCAGCAGGGTGTTGATATTCCTAAAGACTGCCACATCTGTAATTTTTGCTTACTCTCCTTAGTGTGGTGGTGTGTGGCTTTAAAGTGATCACATCAGATTTATTCTCTTAGTGGCAGCTGCTTTTTAGCACAAGAAAACTTTAGTGGTCTTTTTAGATTTTAAAGAAAGTGATCAAAATGAAGATGACTCTGAAGTGTCTGCACTTTGAAGGATGTGAAACTATATTAGCAGTTAAGTTGCAAATAAAAAGCCATGCAAATAAGATACTTAAGCAGCCTGTCAGTAAGGAAAGCATTTCACCTGGCTGAAATCACCATTGATCTTATAAATAGAATTGTCTAAAATGTTGTGTATACTTTTACAACTTTCCTGTTTCTTTTCTGTATCCATGAGATTCTTCAGCTCCACATCACTTTCTAAGGAGACCAAATAATGGGACATATTTTTTAAAACCTTGTGTCTTGTTCTTTTGAAGAGATGAGAATGCTGTTAGTCAGGAATTACTCATTAAATTTGCAAGTTGCCTTTTCGTGAGCAAGAGTAATGAAGCTGCTTCTGTTTGAAAGGGCTGTTCTGCATAATTTATGTGTTTTTTATTACCAAAAGTCATATGCTATGCCAATATTTTGTTTTTAATATTGCTATGAAAAGGTCAAGTTCTCAGAAACAAGATGGCTCCTTGCATTTCTCATGCTACTGGCCAACAATCCATATCTAGAGAAACCCAAGGATTTCTCTCATTGCTGTTGCTTCTTGTCTTGAAGGTCAGAGCGTAGTGAGCTGTGGATGACTCAGGGGTTGTCAAAGGTGGCCCTTTTCAGGAAGAACTTCTTTCCTGGCTATCCTTTTATCTGCCAGCCTTGGCCTCAGCTTTAGAGCTGATGAAATCCAGACAGTGCAAAGATTTGTTTGTCCTGTGCTGAATTTCCTACAGTGTTTTGTTCTTGTCTGTGTCAGTGAGGGACGGGCTTGCTGGCTGGGGAGTGAGGAGAAGGAGGATGCTGCTTTTGTGGTCTTCAGCTCCTTTGGTCAGCAGCACTCCCCGATGCCCCTGCGCAGCAACCACATTTTCTCCTGCTCTGTAACACTGAGTCTATCCCCATTTATATGTGAAAAATTTAACCTAGTGAAGACCTAAAATTTTCACTATTTGGCCTGGGACTGGTTACTGGCATGGTGTTGTCTCCCAGGGCGGTGTTTCCCTGAGGATCTGTGGGGTGATGGATGTCTGGGGTGGCACTGGGGGATTTCATGTGCCTCTTTTTGGGGTGCAGGCCTTGGGCAACAGCCTGTGAGCTGGCTGCCCTTCAGCTTCGCATGCACTATTCTATTAAAGCCCTCCTTGTGCTGGAAAACCACTCTTTGCGTTTCGCTTCGGTATAAAACAACCCCCTAAGCTCGGCGGAGCGGGCGGAGGGGCAGCGGAGGGCTCGCTCCGTGTCTGGGTGCGGGGCCCGCCCCGGGCCCGTTACCCGCCCGCAGGGTGGGGCCGCCCCGCCCCGGCCCCGCTGCCCACGGGCGGGCGGGGCGGGGCCGCTCGGGGCCGGTGTGAGCGCGGGCGGCGGAGCGGGCCGGGCCTGGAGGTGAGCGCGGGGCGGCGGCTCCGGGGCGCGAACCGAACCGAGCCGGGCCGGGTCCCGGCGGGGAGCGGGCGCGGGGCGGGAGCTGAGGGGGCCGGAGCGGCGCTGCCGGCGAGCGGCGCCCAGGCCGGCGGCTCGGCCCGCCCCGCCGGCGCGGCCGCGCTTCCGCCGCTGCCCGCCGTGCGGCCCGCTCTGCCAGCTCGCCGAAGTCCCCCGGGGGCTGCCGGGGCCTGGGGAGCGGCTTCCCGGGGGCTCAGAGAGCGCCTTCACAGGGGGCTGCCGCAGGGGGCCTCGCTGCGAGTGTGAGAGCAGCCGAGCCCCGGCACGGCCCGAGCCCCGGCACGGCCCGAGCCCCGGCACGGCCCGAGCCCGGCACGGCCCGAGCCCCGCACGGCCCGAGCCCGGCACGGCCCGAGCCCGGCACGGCCCGAGCCCCGGCCCGCCTCCGTGCGGGGACCCGAGCCGGGAGGGTCTTGTGCTCCCGGCTGCTCGGTCAGAGAAGCGCGGCGGAAGCGCCGCTCACCTGGCAGGGACCGGCCGCGGACATTCCCCGCTGTCCCCGCCCTTGCAGCTCCTTCCAGGCCAGCGTGGGGCCGGGCAGCTCTGCGGGGCAGAGCCATGAAACCCTCCGGGGCCGTGAGGAGGGACGGGGTCGTAGGGAGACACGTCGCTCCTCTCGCAAACGAGCACTCGGAATCTTCGCCTGCGATGGTGGATTCTTGGTGCATCATTTGTGTCTGCTCGGTATAGCAGTGCTAACCGGTGGCTGTGGCTTAAAGAGTTAAGAGAGGAAAATTTGCTTTTTTGTGCTTCCTTGCTGCTCCGTGTGTAGCCATCCCTTCCCATGGGAGGCAGGGACCACCCTGCTCATACTTGGCAACTGGGAAACTGGCCTCAGATCTGCCTTCTGCATGGGTGAGGGATGGAGCATGGCCCCTGACCAAAAGACACCCTGCTCAGAGGAGTTCCTTTGAAAGCCATTGGTATCATCCAAGTGTGCAAAGCCAGATTGAATGGGGCTTGAAGTAAGCTGGTCTAGTGAAAGTTGTCCCTGCTCATGGCAGGGAGCTGGAACAAGGTGGACTTTAAGGTCCCTTTAAACCCAAAGCTCTCTATGTTTCTATGATCTTGCATATCCTCAGGTATAAGCTGCCTTTCCAGATTTGCTGATAGCTGAAAATGCTTTCTCGCGTCTGAAAAATATGTTTATTCCATCCAAGTAGAAGATGAAACTCATTGTGACTTAAAAGCTCTTTCAAAAAGTACCTGGTACAAAAATTTATATAATAAATTATTTAATTTTTATTTAAAAAAAAAAAAAATTAATTAATTAATATTTAACAAAAATTAAATTAAAAATAAAAAAAAAAAAAAAAATTATATATATATACACAGCTATCTAATACACAGCTATCTAAATTTTGTAAATTTTGCTTTGCTTGCTCCTTCATTTAGGGCTGAGAGCAATGCTCATTCAGTCACTGTACTTCAGGGAGCAGATTTAGCTTTGGTGCCTGGTCCCAGTTTGTAGGAAATAATCAGGATAAACACTAGGTGTAAGCAAGTTCAGAGAGAGGCAACGCAAGGAGGATTTTTTTTTGATCCCAGAACACCAGTGTTGCGGTAATATTATATCTTAGTTTTGCACTGTTGAGACCTTGTTGTGGCTCACCCATGGCAGGAGGCTCTTGGTGGGATGTTCTGCTCTGTCTGTAGAAATTCTATGTTCTTGGAGCTTGCAGCCTGTCTAGTTAATTTTCCTTCTCCTTTTGTGTAGTCAGCCCTTGAAATGAAGTGTTTTCTGAACCATGACACTGTGGTTTTTGTCCAGAAATGTCTTATGTAATCAGAGGACTTAAAACACGATATACAGCTCTGGTGGTGAAACTGGAAGTAGTGCTTGGCTTGGTTAGCACTCCTCACACATTGGGTGTTGCAGGCAGAGGGGGCAGACTGGGCTATCTGGGGGTTGTCAGTAGTTGTGGTGGCATCAGTGGGCTGCCTTGGGAGGGAGCAGGATGTGCCATGGGGGAGATGCTCTCAGCTGGCACAGCAGGCCACTGCTCTTCTGGGCATCATGCTTGCTTCTGCACATCCTGTGTTCTGCCTAGTGCTTGTTTGGCCTTTAAAATCTTAATATTGGCTGGCGTAAATATTTTGAGGAACATGTCATCAGTAGGATATGAGGTCAAGCGCCACTGAGTTCACTTTTACTGTTACCACCTGTGGGGAAAGATTTTGACACGTGCAATTTCTGTTTGATATGACTTTGCTCTCTCCTGGCTGGTGACCAAAGCTAGAGAGTACCCAGGAGCTCCTCCTGAGTCCGGCCTTGGGTGGCCTGCCTGCCTGCCTTGGGGAAGCAGCTGCCTCCAGCTGGAGGGGAGGCTGCTGAGGTCTCTGCAGGGCTGTTCCTTCTGCTGCCTTGGCTGTTGCTGCTTGCATTTTTTTCCTTTTGAGTAACGGCAGTGTGTGTCTCTTCCAGGAGCTGTTTATTCAGAAGGGAATGAGTGCTCCTGGAGCACTAATTTTAAGAGTGGATGGCTAATAAAGAGCCCTATGGAGGAGTATGACTGATCCTGGGCAGCTCCTGAATGCCAATAGCAAAAATTTACCATGTGATTACCTGATAAGGGACACGATATCAAGGGGATATAGCTCTGGTTTCTCTTCAAGCTCTGGTTTCTCTTCAGATTAGCAGTTAGAGGTGTAACCTGGGTATCGCTTTCTGCTGAATTTTGTTGTTAGGATGGTTTTAAAATTTATGACATCAAAGTTTTTCTATGTGGCTGCACAAACCTAGAAGTTCACCCAAAAAATACACACAAAACACCCTAAGAAAGAAACTTTCTGATTATTTGTCACCCAAAGCTGGGAGGTTGGGCACAGGGTAGTGTGTGCCCAGTTTAAGGTTAAGCTCATCCTTCATCCTGGGTTTGGTTTTGGGTCCCTGGTGCATGTCCAGAGAAGGGCAGTGGAGCTGGGGAAGAATCTGGAGAACAAGTCAGATGAGGCACAGCTGGGCAGGCTCAGCCTGGAGAACAGGAGGCTCAGGGGGAACCTTCTTGCTCTCTCTAACTCCCTGACAGGGTACAGCCAAGTGGGGGATCAGGCTTTGCCACCAGGGAACAAGGACAAGAGGAAATGGCCTCAAGCTGTGTCAGAGGACATTTAGATTCAACATCAGGCAAAATTTATTCACTGAAAGGTTTGTCAGGTGTTGGAACAGGCTTCCTAGGGCAGTGGTGGAGTCCCCATCCCTGGAGATGTTCAAGCATGTGTGGATAGGGCATCTAGGGACGTGGTTTAGTGGTGGTGTTGGCAGTGCTGGGTTAGGGGTTGGACTGATGATGTCAGAGACTTTTTTCAGTCATAATAATTCTGTGATTGTCACACTTTCTTGTTGCACGTTGTCAGCTGGGAGGCTGGTGGCATCTCTGGGTGGTCTGAGCTCTGCTGCTTGGTTAGGGCTCTGCAGGGGCTCAGAGGCCCACACAAATCTTGTGGTAGGTGTGATTAGGTGGGAAGGCATCTGTCTGCCCTTCTGGGATAAGTTTATCTCTGCAGGGATCTACAGGTATAAAAATAAAATCCCCAAAATGTTGAAATGCACTTGGCTGCAAATTAGGAAGACATTTTGACCAGTCTCAATGTGTGTGAGAATTGATACATAAACCACCCCCAACTAATTTGTAAGGACATGTAGGGTTTTTCATTCAAGGATTTTCATTCAAATCCTTGGAGTAGGCTGCCTACCTACTCTGAGCACAGAGAGACAAAGGAGTGTTGTCATGAGCTGCCTCTTCTTGTCTGACAAAACACATTTACTACAAAACAATAAACTGTCACTCCTTTGGATGTGAAGCCATGTGGAGGCTGTCCCACTGCAGTACCCACACACTCTGGACTGTTGGGACACAGTGTGGTGTTTGGGTAATTCACCCAAAAAGGCCCAGGGAGCCTCCCTGTGTGTTCCTGCTTAGTGCCTTGCACCTTGCTACCAAATACTCAGTGCCAGAGGTGGCCGTGGGGCAGAGGCTGTGCTGCAGTCTGAGCACACAGGCCTCACCTCCGTGTAGACCCCGCTGTGATTCCCCATGCAAATATAACCCCTGCTCTGGTGGTGTGGGAGAGCTGGGGAGAGCCTCAGGGACATTTTCCCCATGTCAAATTAAAGATTGGCTCTGCACAACTGCCACCAAGCTGTGACAGCAAGACTCATGTAGGAGTCAACCTACATTCACTAGCGTCAGTCTCTGTCACTGAGATTTTTGCCCACTGATTTAAGCACAAATTTCTTAGTGAGGTGAGGAGCTATTTGGTAGCCCACTTGACTTTTCAACTTGCCAAAGAGCCAGAAAAGAGACTGACAGAGTGATGTAACGAATGGAGAGAGAGAACAAAATGGGAAAGAACATTTTTTTCTTTGTGTTGCCTTGTAGCAGTGCCTGATGAAGGCTCTGAGCTGCCAGCAGTTAAGGTTTTGCATGAGTCATCATTTTGGGGATGCAGGAATTTAATAGTTCTTATCTCATGTGCAGTCAGTGGGATGGTTGGGTACCCATGAGAGGTACCTACCTCACCCTTCACTGTCCCCAGTGCTCATGCTGCTGGTGGGAGGAGGCTTATCAGCAGAAAAACCTTGTCAGAAACAAAAATGTTCATGTTGAGAGGGCAGAAGGCACAAGTTTGACTACCCCATTTCTTAACCAGGCTTCAGAATGGTTAGTTTTATTTCCTGCTTTTCCTTCTTAGCTGTTGGATTTTAGTCGTTATAGAATAGTTTGGGTTGGAAGGGGCCCTAAAGCTCATCTTGTTCATCTTGTTCCAACTTCTTCCATGGTCAGAGACACCTTCCACTAGACCAGTTTGCTCCAAGCCTTGTCCAGAGTTTCATTAACCCTATTACTGATTTTGCTAGTGGGATAAATAGTGTTAAATGAGGATGTTGTTACAGTTCTTCAGTGGGTGGTATTTTCATACAGAATGTCAGTGTAAAATCTTTCAGGCTGTTTCCTTCCATGTTTCTACAGACTCTGCTTGCTGTTGGAAGATGGGAGAGATAGAAGGAACATACAGAATTCTGCAGACGCCGGGCTCTCGTTTGGGTGCCCAGAAGACCTCAGGAGTGAGTACCTTGGAGCCAGGACAGAACCTCTTGACTGCCATGGCATCATCACCTGCCAAAGCACATGAGCGTGACCTCCCCGTCAAAATCAAGATGTTGGACAACACAGTGGAAGTACTTGACATTGAGGTAAGAGATATTTAAACCTGATTTCAAGTACACTGAGCCTCTGATAATTTAAAGCTCACAAGGATGTGCCTCTGTAGAGAGCTGGGACATTTTGAGGCAATATGTGAATGAAGATTCCTGTTGGGATTTACCTGCTTACAAGTAGTGTCATCAGTTGCATGACTTGTTTTTTAAAATCTTTCAAATATAACAGATGTTTTGTGTTTTTAACAGACTTTAAATATAAGCATCTACTGTAAGGAGAGTCTTTATTTGTTGTTTGCTTTGGGGGAACACCAACTGTCTCCTGCCAAAATGTTCTTGCTTCCTGAGCCACATGCAGCTTTGTCAATTTGGCAGCTGGGAGAACAGAAGAGCTGTGCCTTAGTTACTAATTTATATTAATTATTTTAATGGTTTGTATCCTCTACAAGTAAACTTGCTCCTATTTGAAAGTCTTTGATTGCCAGCACGCTTCAGGAGGGATGCACCAAAGCAGTGTCAGTTCAGGTTTCTGAAAATGTTTATTTAAAAATATGCTTGGGGAAATGTGACATAAGACATAGAAGCCATGCACAAAGTAGGGAGATTCTGCTTTGAAGCTATTTTTTTCCTTCCAATTCTTGTTACATTTTCAGCATTAACCTCTTGAGTTTAATTCTAGTTTGCCTGAGAACTGTTGTTAGAAAACAATTGTGTTGTAGTGAAGATACTTAGTTATCAGATATTATTAGTATCAAACTGTAATCAGTAATTTATAATAACCACTTGGAGCCTTAGTGTGTTTCATAGACTCAAAAAGGGTTTTTAAAATAGAGTGAAAAAGGTTTCTGTGGATCTGTGGAACTCTGGAGAAATAGTGGATTTGGGGATGTCTTCTATAGATTTTGTCCAGCTGTTGAAGTCTCAGATAAGAAATCTGGTTTTGTGGTTGTTTGGTTTTTTTTTGGTGGTTGTTTTTTTTTTTTTTTGTGGGGTTTTTTTTTTTTTTTTTTTTTTTTTTTTGGGTTTTTTTTTTTTGTTTTGTTTTGTTTTTTTAAAGAGTGAGGCTGTGCCTGTATCCTTCCACTTGAGCACAGAGTGTCTGGTACTGCAAACCCACCCATCCCTCATGTACCACACAGAACACAAAAGCCTCTTTTTTCCCTTTACATTATGTTAGAATATTTTTTTAGAAAATCCGCTGACTTTGGTTCTTTTGAAGGATAATTTTATTTCTTTTTCCTAGATGATGTAGATGGTGCTTTTGTGTTTTGATTCACAAAAGAAAAAAAAAAACCAAGCAACACCCTCAGCTCTGTAATTTTGAAAGTCGGTGCAAGGCCAGGTTTATGGGGCTTTCAGCTTGTTGTGTTGTATGTGTTAATCATAACTAGGAGCTGTCTTAGTTTTCTTTACCTGAAAAGCTCTTTCTGATTATGACACCCATAGAAACACCCAAATTCAGGCACTAGCATGCTGAGACCATAATGAATATTGTACTGCTTTTCTTTATGAGATCAGTTGGAACTGAAAGACTTAGAAACCTCATGGCTGATGCTGTGAGTGAAGAGGAAAAGGGGTCAGCCTTGGGTCAGCTTCAGAGCACCGAGCACGGAAAGGTCCAGAGTCAGCAGCTGTGGCATTACAGTCCAGCTAACACTGCCTCCATTGCCTTTCAGTTTTGGCTAAATAAGGTAGCAAATGATAGAAAACAGGCATGAGGTATTAAACTGTGACCATCTGCCTGATTTCTTTGGTGAGCTTTTGGGATAGCAGGAATTGCTGACTGCTGTTTGTCATGGAAAATGGAAATTTTTCACTTGGGATTGAGGGCAGGCATTAGGAAAAGGCAGTGACATTGCTGAATAGGTGGTGCATGCTAGCACAATAATTTTTCAAAAAGCAGTTGGAGAAACTGATGGCCAAGCAGCTATCCTAGATCAGATTGCCATGCTACTTGCCCACTTCTCTTTGCTTTTGTAATTTTCGTCACTAGATGTGAAAGCAGGATGTGATGTTGTGGAGTTTGTGTTTGATTCAAGGCAGCAGTAGTTTGTCAGTGCAGTGCCACACAGGCCTTTCCCATGGGGATTTAGCACTGCCTGCTCAGGGAGATGTGGGTGATACCAAAAGGTGGTCTGGGTTGTTTTTTTTTTTTTCCTATTCAAATGATTTTCTCTTGTTTCTGTAAGAACTGTGGCAAGTGACTTTTTACTGGGAAAAATGGTGTGTCAATAGAAGGACAGACAGAGTGTAGGATCAGCTCCTGGAGTGACCCTTCCCTGTGCAGTGTGGTGGGGAGCCTGATGCAGTAGCCCAGTAGCCCTGGTTATTGCCTCCCTGCCTAAAATGAGCCACAGCAGCATTTTTAACCATATGGGATTAAGAGAGTAGCCACAGTAACAACTTAATCCATGCAGCTTTACCTTGTCATCCCTTCCTTTCTCCAAGAAGTGCTTAAACCAGTTGCTTCTCTCCTGGCAGGAGTTGGTGGTTGCCCTTTTTGGTAGCCCACTTGACTTTTTTACTTGCCAAAGAGCAACAAAAGAGACTGACAGAGTGAGGTAATGAATGGAGAGAGAACAAAATGGGAAATAGCAGTTTTTTCTTTGTGTTACTGATGTATCTGAAACAGTTTGCTAAAAGTTCTACATAGCTATGTTCTACCATCTTTTAAGTCCACTGTCTCTGTCCATTTTCCCCATCTGTTTCATAAGGTTTGATTTCTAAGTAGGAATTTGATTAATTACTAAGAGAGAATTATTCTTTAAAGTATGTTGGGCAGAGCCTTTCTCCAGTGAATCTGATTTGAATGTTAGGGGATGGAGAAATACTCAATGTTTTCTGGAGTTTAAAAAAACTGAAAATGGGCTATTTATGGGTTCTCCTTTCCCTTCCAAAACAGAAGAGAGAATGAAACATATCCATTCAAAGCTAGGCTGCAATATTAATTATTTCCATGAGTTGGGTTTTTTCCCTTTTTACAGCCAGCTTATTTAGTCAGATCAAATCTTGCATGTACCATTTCATGGAGTACCTGGCTTTTTCAAACTAAATCTGTCCAAAGAGTGGTTTTGCAGACTACAAGATGAATGATTGGCAAATTACATTTAGTTCAGACTGTGGGCACACTTCAAAGTAATCAGGGTTTTACAGTAGAAGTTCTGCCAGCTTTCCAGGTTTTTTTGAACAGATTAAACTTGGAGGCTTTTGATCAGCACAAAAATGTGGCAGACTCTTACATAGAAGGGTCTGGGCTAGGTTGAATTCACCAAAATGACATTTAACGGAACTGCTGCCATCAGATGATGTTTAATATTTGGCCTCTGTGTTGTTCCTTATGTAAGAAATATGTGTCATTTAGGAAATTCTTCTACATGAAATATTCTCTATGCTATGAGGAAGTGCCCCAGAAGAAGTAGTTTATATTATTATGCTTCAAGTTTACTGAATTGTCTGGGGAGAACTTGATGCTTCTTCAATGGCATGTACTTCCTCTTCTTCTGCTGGGATGTCAAATGAAATTTGGGATTCAAAAATATTTGTACATTTTATTATAGGGTCTGCCTGCCTGCTCCATTCTAAGGTAAAATTTAAACTGGATTTTTTTTATTTTGTGCTAATCTTTGTTGGGTTGTTTTGAGAACAGAAATCTGTTCTTTAAATTTTATTTTTGTATGTAATGCAGTAATGATGTTCTGCACCCCTGCCATGCTGAGGTGTCCCTCTCCCCCTGATAGGGGTGGACTCCTAGCAGGGAGATGCTCCACCCCACTGCCATTATTGAGAACAGGCTAGTTAGGTAAGATTACACTGTAATTCCCCCATTTATTTTCTTATTAATTAGTGTCCTCTCACTGCTCTTGTCTGCTTTGGTGTTCATTGGTGTACCCTGCAAAACGATTACATTACTACAAAACCAAAGTGGCTTATTCTGTCCTAAGCTGAAAATGTGTACTTGATGATTACTTTGATAGTGATAGTGTCTTTGTTGGGCACTTCCTTAGCTTATTGAAATCTATAAATTGCATTAATAAAAAGTGCAAAGCTATTCTCCATCCTTATGTTTAGAATGGAATATAATAACTCCAGTTATTCTGGTTTCTGTGGAGTTTGCAGTTATCTGTGATTGAAAAGGTGCCATGAAAGTGGCTTCCCCTGGGATGCCCATTGTTTTTGACCAGCCATTGGAGGCCCTGAAGTCAGGAGCTGGGCTGGGGCTGCAGGAAGTTTTTGGGATGGCAGAGGAAGCAATCTGACTGCAATATCCTTCCCATGGTTTGCAGAGAGTGTTTCCCACTCGTTCACATGGCAAAATGCTGCTCTCACAGCAGCACTGTGGTAGTGTTAGTGCCCCCAAGAACTTCCATGGGCATGATGCAGAAATGGTGCAACTTTTAACTGCTGTTATTGAGCAATTTTTAGGAAGAAATATGTGTATGTTGAGCACTGGGATGATGCTGTGGGCACTGAAAAGCACTTGCTGTGTGCCATGAGGAGCTGCTGGGACAGGCAGCCCAGTCCTGGCTCTGGCACTTGTGCCCTCCTGCCTCTGCCTTGCTCTCCCTGTGCCTGCTCAGACCTTCCTTTCATGAAGGCTTTCTCCCTCTGTGCTGTGAAAGTATTAACAGCTTAAATATGTGAGTAGTCAAGGGATAGTCTGCTGCTGAATCCTATTAAGTGCTGTGCTGGAGGAATCGAGGTGCTGTTGGTAAGCTCACAGTGTTTTTCTTCCCTAGCCAGGAAGAAATAGTCAAAATTCCAAAAAGAATCATAGCCAGATGTTTGTCATTGCTTCGGTTTGAGTCTCCTAAATATGGCAAATAAGCTGCCTTAGGACTTATTTTTATCTGACCTCAGAAGAGAAAGTTAGTAATTCACTATTTTAAATTTGCAATTATCATAGGGTTTAAAAAGAAGGTAACTAAAGCTTTGCCTTTTGTGTGCCGTTTGATTCCACTATATATTTTTTAGGCCTGTTATTTTGTGTTTGGAAACTTGACTTTTTTGATGCTCTGTTGGAATGTGGCATGGGGTGG